GTTCTAAGTGAGGCAGACGGCTCACAGAAGACACACATGTTCCCAGCGAGCACTAATGGGCGAACGCGTTTCTTTGATGAGAAAAGATTTTAATTATCGCCGAGTCGCTCCTACGTATTGGCCGCTTTCAAGGAGCTCACAAGGAATTTATGTAAGTGGATAAGATTTGCCGTACTCTCATGCTAAAACAAATTGAAATTTTTATCAATTTATTGTATTACGAGCATGCAAATATACTCGTATTCTCGTCGCATGCAAATTGTAATATTAATCAACTGTTGCTCTCGCAAATTTCGCACACCAGTTTAGAAGCTTAATTACATGTGAATTAGAGAAACTTATTATTTTTCACGATCAGCTAATGTATTGTGCCCGGCATAAGAAGAAAAATATATTGAAACTCGAAAATGTCTTGCACATAGGATTAAATTGAAATAGTGCTCCTGAAAATGAATTGATTTGAGTCAGAAATACTGAAACTGTTCATCATAGAACCAGGTAGGCCACTAAATTTTATTATTGAAAGATTTCGGTCAATATCTTGTATAGATTTCGGTTAATATATTGGATAGATTTCGGTCAATATCTTGGATAGATTTCGGTCAATATTTTGGATAGATTTTTAAAAAGCACAGATTTTTAGAATAATATGACCAACTGTTCTATATCCCTAAACCTAATTATGTTTTCGACTTAATATAACTATTTTGCAAACCTCATCACACAAAGAGTTAGAGAATAAATTAATGTACCGGTACTCACTAATTTGCTTTGTATGTAAAAGATCGTAATATAAAATTATACATTTCAGAACAACGGAGGTTAAAAGCAGTTATGTATCGGGAGGTATGGGCCTATTTCTTCAATGCCGACACTTCTATTCTATTCTATAACGATGTGTGGGGACATCAGCTTCCCGCTCATCCTGCTACTGGAGAAGCGTTGGTGTTGTGACAGGATTTATCATTGTGGGTAAAATCTATGCAACTAACTTCATTAGGCAACTCTCACATCCCCTCATGTGACCTAGAGCTCTTCAGAGGGACGCCTCTGGAGTAGCGCTTCTCACCAGCCTGGGCCATACTTTCAAAACTCGCTAAGTTAACGTAAGTCCTTACGCTCTATTTTCTTGTCTATGATTGATGGATTTTGCTTGAAAGGCCGTCAATGATTGGCTGATGAACTTACGATCTCTTAACTTTTTTTTCCTCATCACACAAAGAGTTAGAGAATAAATTAATATACTCACTAATTTGATAGGTATGTAAGAGATCATAATCTAAAATAATACATTGCAGACCAACGTAGGTTACAAGCAGTTATGTATCGGGAGGTATCACGATGTGCCGGGACATCAATTTCTCGTTTATCCTGTTACTGGAGAAGCGTTGGTGTTTTGACAGGATTTATCATTGAGGGTAAAATCTATGCAACTAACTTCATTAGGCAACTCTCGCATCCCCTCATGAGACCTTATATAGGAGCTCTTCAGAGAGACGCCTCTGGAGTAGCGCTTCTCGCCGGCCAAACAACGGTCGTGTTTAGCACATACAAAGGACAACCTCCTCTGCCTACACCACACAACCCATGCCCGACCTACACATTGCAAGAAAAACGAGCCTGCATGATTGTCAAGACAAATAACACGCTTTATCCAAGCTACAACGGCGATCTGAGCGGATGCGGGCGACGGCTTTCATCAGCGATGCGGGCTGTGTGCGTGCATCGCGCACGCAGCCTCGTGAGACGTCGGATCCGCTGTACGGCCTCACTGGGCCAACGATAAATTACGCTATTTTTTGTACAGTATTCATTGCTAAAAATGTTAAGATTGACAGTATGCATCATTAATGTCTATTTCTGATTAATTAGGCAATAAATATATGAAAATTGACTTCAATTTTTGTTAATAATTTTCAATGTCGGTGACTCCCCTTTATGTACTTGATTTTTTTCAATTAAATATCGTAATTGGGTCTTTTGCTTTTCTATAGGTTGTTTTTAGTTAAAGGATTCGCCTTAATCATCGAGATTGCTTGTGATAGTTGATCAACTTTAATTAAATCGAAGTCGATAAAGCTGTTAGATTTGGTTTAATGAGAAAATTTAATAATATGTCAAAGATAATGATTTTAAAGAAATTAGAAATAAAATAGTGAAGTTAACTATCCATAAAACTTGACATTAAAATAATAATAAACATTTAAAAGATTTTTTCCAAGATCAGGCTGAGAAACGAAAGATCATAGCAAAAAAAGTGATCACATGCCTCATACTACGAATAAAATAGTTGTACCAAGTATCAAATATAGCACGATATTAAAATTACTCAGCAGTTGCCAACAAGTGATTTCAGTCTGTAGCCAGAACGTGAGTGGAAAGAGATGGCCAGCGGTCGGCCAGAGCATACTGGCGCTAGCCGACCACGGTCTTTTTAGCGCATTTTCTCATTTATGGAAAAAATGCACTATTGTGCTCGCCATGTCCGTCCGTCCGTCTGTCCGTCCGTGACTTCACGTTTTCGTCGGCGAGAAAATGCGCTCTCTGTCACTCAATACAGTGAGTACTGAGTTATATTTTTTAATCCTTTTAATTACCATTGCCGGGAACAGTGCAGCCAAAAAAGAACTCGGAGAATAGAAACTGATGCATCTCAGAAATGAACTCCCGAATAGCCGCTCCGAAAGTTTGCCGTTCAGTTAGACACACTCTTAATCACTATTGGCAACTGCGTAAGGCTATTTCTATTCAGAATCTTCGGGAAGCTTTTAAAATTCCCCCGGCTTGATCAAGTAAGCAAATTCTATGGCACCGTTGACATGGAGTTGGAGAGCGAGCCTGAAATAAAATCGTAATCAAAAGCAGCATAACCCATAACATAAAGAAAATAAAACAGTTATTAAAATCAGTTATGAAACTCATAACATGAAGCTACTAAAACGGCAACGAAAAAAATTTTAGAATTCAAAACGAAACAGTTAAAACCGTAATTAAAAAGTATTTTTTTTGCGTTGTTTGCCCAAAATATGAAGTAATTAAAATCGTAATGAAAAGCAGAAAAAACATAAAATGAAGGTACAAAAACCGTAATAAAAAGCATTAAAAGAAAGAAAATGAAGCTGCTAAAATCGTAATGAGAAGTATTAAAAACCATAAAATGGAGCTCCAAATCCGTAATATAAAGCAGCTAAACCATAATATGAAGCAAGTGAAACCGTAATCAAAAGTTAAAAGCGCTAAAAGCCACGTCATAAAGCAACTCGAAACGTTATGCAAAGTAGTAAGACTATAAACTGAAGTAATTAAAATCAAAACGAAAAGTAATAAAACCTTAAAATAAAGTAAACAAAACCATGTAGAATAGTAGGAAAAACCTTTGAAATGATGCTACTAAACCGAAATGAAAATAATTAAAACCATAAAATGAACCATTAAACCAAATTAAAAATAAAAAATTCTGCCCGTAATATAAATCAGTAAAAACCATCCCATGAAGAAACTTAAACCGTAATAATAATCAAAGAAAATATAAAATGAAGAATTTAAAAATTAACGAAACGCAATTAGCACCACAACTAAAAGCAACAAAAACCGCAACAAAAAATATAAAAAAAAACTCAACATTGAGGATTAATGTCGTAAAACCAAAAATCCAAAAACAGCAACAAAAAAAAACTTACATCAGCAAAGGTGATACATCAGCAAGGGGATACATCAGCACGACATATCAGCCAGATTATAGAAGTGCTCTCAAAAACGTCGTGATGCAAATGACGTACAAGTAGGGTTATAGCACCACTAAAAAAAACTTGACTTGCGACGTGTGCACTGAAGAGAAAATGTATGGGTCATACAGTCTAAATAGCGACACTTTCTCCTTGTAGCGCTTACAGTACATGCCTTACTTTTTCCAGGGCATACCGGGCAAAAGAGGCCTCACATTGGAGCAAAGTTTAACTCTGAGTGTAGAAGTGAACACAAACTTGCTATTTGTTCACGTAAACACAAAAAAAATAAATAAATAGAGAAGATATTAAAAAGTAATCAGTTTTGTCTCTAAATTGAAACTCAAGCGCAAACAACAGTGAAACAGTTGATGAAATTAAAATATGCAAAATATATAAATCCGATTATAGATTTCATAAATCGTGTAGCATAAGGAAAAAAATCAGATAATGCAGAAAATGAAGGGAAATAATTTAAGGGAGAAAATAATTCATTTATAGTCAATAATTATTCAAATTATACTTAAATTATATAATTATAATTATTAAAATAAAAAATAATTGACATAAATTACAGGAGGAATGGTTCTCGTTTAAAAAATAGCGGAAGAATAATCTACAAGAAAAAAATGAGGTGATTGTTTAAGGAACAAATAATGCAGGAATGATTCGTGTCATCGGACACCTGCCGTGATCAAACGCTCGTCATTCCTCGAAGTCTTCACAGTTTCGAGAGTCCACATTTATAATAAATCCCACACTAAAAAATGTGAGGATTCAGTGCGCTTAACGCCGTTTGAAGTGGCGAGATAATCCGTCTCTGTTTGTCCTACATCCACGAGCCCTCGAACAGCCCGTGAAACAAACCAAGTTGGCCATGGCAAGAAGTTTCTAGTGAACTAGCGTCCTGGAAGTTGTGGCAGCATCTGTGCGCGTCTGTCTTCGGGACGCCAAATCGATCAATATGGACATTTTCTCCATTTCGATTGAACTACTTGCGATAGCTTCGTGTAATTGAGCGGGCATCTGTAAGAAACTCAACAAGATTCTCCTCAAAAAAATGCGCAGCATGTACGAATGAACGCAGTTCGGTTGTAAACGTGAGCAAGAAAACAGACCAAAAGCGAGCATGAAGTCAATGGAACGAAAAATTTAACCCGAGAACACAAGGAAGTCAATGGAATGAAAAATTTAACCCAAGAACACAAGGAAGTCAATGGAATAAAAAATTTTACCCGATAACACAAAAGAAACTTAGATTGCCACAGAGCTCACCTCTACTGAAGGCACTCATGGCCCCTTGCTGGCCATCTCCCTCTGCTGAAGACGCGCAGCAGCAGCAGCCACAGAAACAGCTCCGGAACGCGCACAACAGTGAGGAGAATTTCTTGGGGCATTGTTTGCTCTTGGGGAGTTTTTTGGCGGTCCCCTCAGCGGGCGACACCACCAACACTCGCGAAGTTCTTGAGGTTTCAACCATGGGGAACGAACTCCCTTGACTTTTACCGGTAAACAAATAGGGGAGGAATTGACGTGGTCTCTGAGACTGATGACTTGATGACGGACTTCTAGGGGGATTCCGTCTTTCCTGGTATTCGGTTGGTTCAGCTCTTAGAAAATCTTTAAAAACTTCTATAATATGACAAGTTAACAATAATAATTTATAGGTGACTTTATGAAAAGTTTAAATAAATTTACTGATTGAAAATAAGGAAATTGAGAAATGTTACGAAAATAGTGCAGCCAAAAATTTTGGATTCGATAAATACGACACAAAATTAAGCTGGATTAGTTGCATTTTTTCTACGGTGTCTGAGAAAAATATCCTGGAAAGAAATAAAGAAAGATTTATACAAATTACATGGATTGTGATATCACGACAAAATCATTAACAGATGTTATGAACTTTAACTGCCATGAAGTAATATCTATATGATTCAATTAATATAAAAGTATGATACGCAATTGATAGAAATTATTGAATGCACTAAGTTATATGGAATGATACATATTATTAATTTCAAACCCAAATATTTGAAGATCATAGAAGCCCAAACTTTCCAACTTAAAACTGCACGACTAAATTCAAGCCACACGATTGAAACTTTTCTATTAGAGCAATCGATCTTCCCGGAAAATAATAATCCAAACATTTTTCTGACAACACTTATGAAAAATTATGGAAATAAAAGACATGATATAGCGGGTGCCACCGATAAAAGAAAATTTCAAATAAATTTTTAAAATGAGGCATCAAAGGAAAAAAATATATATCTATGCCGTATCGACATGGTTTGCAAGCGCACTGTACTTCCGGTCAGAAAAATTTTCCCCATACGCGAGACCTGACGCTATGTAAGCTCAATTACTGAACTGAATTGCACTTGGGAGGCTTAAAGTTGGATGAGCTGTTTGGAAATGAAAATTCTGTCTGCCAGATCATGTTTGATTTTGCCGAATCATAATTTCTAATCAAACAAAATAAGTTTACGCACTCATTTCTAAGCCCTGAAGCACGCAGATTGCTGCGCATTTGCTTTTTTTACAGAATAACTCGGAACGTCAGCTTTGAATAAGAGGAAGTTATCAAGCCCAGTTTAACAACACATCAGCAGTAATGGGCCATTATTATGGCCAATAAAGAGCTAAACATTTCATACAGCGGTAATTATAACAGACTGAAAAGACTCGCAGATTGAATCAACAGCGAGGGTATAGCAGAATTTGGCTCGGTCTGTGCGGCGGTCGAATGTGTTAGTGTCGTGTTTCTATGAAGGTTTTATGGGAGGCGAGTTGACTTTAGAAGCCTTTTTATCTTCACGGTTTTCAAAGGCACGGCAGCATCAGGTAATGTGTTAAAACATTTATTTCTTATATATTCCTATGAAAAATGGAGTCTGAAAAAACATGAGAGTGCACCAGGATAATTCGAAGTGTAAACTATAGGAAACATCACTACAAACGGGTTAACTTAAGGCTCGATTTTCTAAAAACTTATGTTGGTTGAAAAACTCTAGCATTTAAATGAAAATAAATAATATCACTTGACTGCGAATCTACATTTCTCAACTCAAAGTCAACGAGGATTCAAGTGAAGTTCGTTGAAATAAGTCAAAATTCTTGAGATTTGTAAAGCACAACTAATTTCAGTCTTCTTGTCGACGAGCTATTTCAGAACAATGGGGACGCTTCTCGTCCGGCTATTTGGCTTGTCATTGCAGGGGAGACGATCTCTTCTTTTTGCCTGCAAAAAGAAGAGAAAAGGCAACATTAAATACACATCGTTATTATATACCGTAGGTTATTCAAATACAAGTTCAGATCTTAGAAGGTATTATTTAATGACTAATGATAGGTTTATATTTGCTTCGCCATTAGAGAGTAATGATTTTCTTACTTGGAGTGATGAGATTTGCACACATTAATACGCATTTATCTAACTGAAAAACATTTAAAATATTATTACAAAGAACTCGGGAGTATATGGGCCAAATAAAACCCCAGATAGATTGTCATATTCACGTGGGACTTCACACCAACATTAACTCTAAACACACGTGCGGAGCAACAGAAATTGTATTGACTGCTTCATATTAAATTAATCCATAAAATATGAGGTTGGAAATGAGTATCTAAATAACATAGATTGAAGGTCGTATAGATTGCTTTCGTGAAAAGAACTCGACCAATTTTGCGTTCAATTATCGGGAAGAAAAACAAAGCGTGCTTGCAGCCTAAACGAAAGACCGTTTAAATCCTGAAAATGTGGGAGCCGTTTTAAATACCAGCGAATAATAATTAACAATAACATAATAATAACAATAATAATTGTTGAAGACAGCGCAGGACTGTATCATGAGGGACCGAAGAGGTTCCCTCGTGAATATTTTCTGTATTAAATTAAAATATTCTGAATATTCTCTGCATTAATCAGGCTCACGCTGAATATTTTATGGTTCAAACTTTAAAGTGCTGAATAATCTCTACAGAACAAAATTACACAAAATATTCTTTGAACGAAAAAACGGTGAACATTTTTTGCATAAAATGATGCTAATCTGAGTATTTTCCGCTCTAAATAAATATAAGTTGAATTATTTATTAAATATAACATAGTTGAATTTTCTTTGCGATAAAAGAAAATGCGCTGAATACTCCGTACATTAAAAAAAATAATGCGATGATTTTAAAGCACTATAGGATAATAGGCCGAAAATTTCCTGCACCAAACGATAATATATATAGGTATATAAGCTTATATACCTATATATATAAGTACTTTGCACTAAATGACAATGGGCTGAATATTCTCTGCAATAAATTAAAATACGCCGAATTTCCTGGTTATTCAGCGAAATGACGTTCAAAAAGAATGGAGACTTTGTGTCTTGAATAATCAAGAGGTAGGTCAGTAAAATAAAAAATGTAATTATTCCAAGTATATTTCCTAGCTTTTCAAAGGAGCGAGGTACAAATTTATTCAGGCGGCCAGCCTATAATGAGTGAGTTCTATGCGGACAAAAACGCTAACATGAACGAGTAATGACAGTTTAAAGACGTAAGAAAATTTATTCATCTAAAGTATGAAAACCTTTGGTGTTTGAACACCAAATAAGAAAACAAGGAGCTTTTATGCGCAATTAGTAACTTGAGTAACGAAAAACCTTCATTACAATCAAAGTTTATAATTACACAAGGAGAAATAATTCAAAATAAACGAGTTTTATTAATCATTTGAAAGTGTGGGAGAGAGTAACATAAAACCTTCATTACAATAAATTTTATAATAAAAAAGAATGAATTCAAAATAAATGAGTTTTATTGATCATTTGAAAGTGTGGGGGAGAGTAACATAAAACCTTCATTACAATCAATGTTTATAATAAAAAGAGAATGAATTCAAAATAAATGAGTTTTATTAATCATTTGAAATGTTACTCTCCCCAACTAATCGGATTGCACACCACATTAGTAGGAGACCGCCACGAGAGTCAGAAGGAGTCAGCCAGCTTTAAGTGAAGCAGACTCTGAGGGCAGCAACGTTCGTCAGCTTCAATGGCTGTCCATTTTCTGGGAATCACTTCCTCGGTAAAAATTATTAATTAGAAATTTTTTAACAAGAAACGTCAATCGAAATCAAAATCGGCTTGGCTTTAGCAGGCCAGGCTGCATTTGCGTCTGGTTATAAAGTCGAACTTGATTACAAAACCAAAAATGTAACCAGATTCCTGACATTGACAAGAGAAACTAAATTAAAAGGTTTTAATCTCAGCAGAGTGACTGCATGCGAAACTGTTCGCTACCGAGTTAAGTAATCTTCGACAGAAACCACGAACAGAATTTTTTCTAGTCATTTCCTGGAAAATGCAAAGGCGCTCAAAGCATTTAAACCAGCAACGCCGCATTACATCAAGCGCTGGAATACAGCACAACTGCTATTTTTGTGTCGCTTCACATTTACCTACATACGAAAAAATTATCTTTTTTATTTTGTATATATTTTATATTACTTCATTTGCATATTCTCATCTTGTAGCTGATACGGAAGCAAATAATCACTAATTTTTCATGGCTTTTAAAAATTTCGTTTAAACAAGATCATGCACAAAAAGAGCAGCAAATCTTCCACAACTGTTTCTAAATAACTCTTGCATACATAACCCCATGAACAACTTTAGTTCAATTTAATTATAAATATCTTTTATTGCTGTTATATGTAATTTTTATTTACGATCAAGAAACGTTGCTTCTGTAATTGTGAATTCAAAACCATACTATAATCACAAATAGTGAATACCATTCCTATTAATTTGGAAGCAAAAATGTTATGGGAAGCATTTTCCTCTTAAGGAAAGGAAACCAATACTTATTGAACTTCTGGTTCCAAATTCCGTGGAATTATTAAGATGGCACGCTACTAGGCCTGAGCGAAAGTGTAAGCCCCGGGAGGCTTGAGGCTCTTCGCAAAAATCTTAAAATTCCCAGACGTGGCAAATGAAAGCTTCTTATTTTATAGCGCCAAAATCACCAAAACAACCTTGAATACAAAATTTCAATGGGGACCCAAACAGATTTTACGTTTTTTAGATCCGCTGGTGTTTTTGCAAAGGTATTTTTTAACAAGGGACATAAAATACATGTTTGTTGGCCAAAGGTAAATGATTTTAAATTAGAAAATAAAGCACGGTTAATTTCTAGTATCATCATATTATCAGAACTTACTTATAGAAGCTCTTTACCATGGGCCAAAAAGCGACATCGACAGTGAAACTTTTTAATGATAATACAACTTTAATCGAAACTTTATAAGGATAATACAACTTCAATCGAAACTTTATAAGGATAATCAAACAACATCAATCGAAACATTTTACGTATAATACAACTTCGTTCGAAACTTTTTAAGGATAATGCAACTTCAATCGAAACTTAATAAGAATAATATAACTTCAATTGAAACTTTTTAAGGATAATACAACTTCAATTGAAACTTATTAAGGATAATACAAATTCAATTGAAAATCAGACGACCTTCAAGTGATAATCTCAATAATCTTCAAGTGATAAGCTCAATAGCAAGAAGAAATCAGGCATTAGTGTGATTTTTTAACATGTCTTTGAGCCGGTGAGTTCGAACGAGACTCACTTTCATTACTTTATTCAACTCGACTTTTTTCAACTTGAATTTGCAACGTGAAAAGATGATAATTGAATACAGTAAAAGCAAATTATTTTCCATTTTTTGTCTGTAATATCGTAACAACCAGAAGCAATAATTTATTGAAATCGCCGACAAGTCATGTACGCACGTGCTTCGAAAATCGCAA